AATTACCTTCTTCGGCCGGCGTTCCGACAAGAACGATTTTGCCCGGCATTCCCCTTTCCTCCATAACCTCAGCCGCAACTATGGCCCCTATCACCGAAGCACTCGCAATGAGATTATGACCACATGCATGGCCAATCCCCGGGAGACAATCTGGAGTTACAGCCCAGTCAGTACGAGTTCGGACAAAAGATGCAGGCTCTAGACTCGAATATCATGTCTTTGAGTCGCGAAAGATCTCGGTCCTTACCCATTTCTGCGTTAAATGATACAACAGCTCCACGCTTGCCTGAGTCATATACCGCTATCCATGCCGTCTCCATGCCGTATGCTGACGGCGTGACTTTCCATGCTCGGCGGCGTTTCATAAAGCTCGTGAGAGCTTGATGTGCAATGAACTCCTCGTAGCCCAGCTCAGGGTTGTCATGAATTTTAATATTGACCGGCCAAAATTCGTTTGCCACGTTTTCGGCAACTACGTTGATATCTTCCAGCAAGCTCGGGCTTGTGTATCGAGTCGCCGAGTCGCATGGGCAATCGGTGGTGGAGACCACAACGAACCCGTCATCTCCATCATTCATAGATATGTTCGCCATTGTTGGAGGTAGGCGCTGAGGACAACGACGAGATCTGTAGCCACTCGGTCTCAGTGGCGAAATTGCATACTACGAGAGAAGAAAACGGTTGTTGTTGTTTTTGCTGATGCTCTATCGGAGGTCTCCGCCAAACGGCACAGTCGCTCCGCGAGCTCGATCCCTGAACCGCAGCCACCTCTCGCAGAACAAACTAGACACAATTGCACAGTGGACCTTGGCAACCACAACCCCAGATAACTAATAAATATACGGAGAAGTGCGGGGTGGAACCGACCCCGGATTGATTACTTCGCCCTCTGGAGGCGCCTTTCCAAGGCTCAATCAGCCATTTTAGCTCCTGCGACACACGTTCCCCCACATATTCGGTGTCAATTGTAGCGGTTATCTTTGAACGTGTGCTTGGGGCTACAATGATTGCCACATGCTTGACTGACTTTGTGTAAAATTCGCCGAGTGGTTAGCTGCCGGACTTGTCATGGCCTGCCCATCCTACTTTCTGCAAACTCAAAGAAAAGAAAAGTCATAATTCACAACATCAGCCATGGGATCAATAGGCGCCAATACATCTCCTGTTCCAGTGACGAACTATCCCGAAACGGTCAAGAAGATGCATCATATCAAAGACAAGGCTTGTGATTTGGCAGTAATAGCCGTGTTAGCCGGACAGGTCGAACAAATTACCAGTAAAAATGTGTGACGAAAGATTGATGTCCATATCCGGCCTTTCCTTTGTATCACGTATGTCTTGCCAATTTGTTGACAGAACGTCGCCGGCCTATCCATCTATTGTGGCATCATTCGGCTTCCTCATCATCCCCGAGGCTCTTATCCAGCAATATCGTGGGCAGCACAAAGAGATTTATCGCAAGTGGGTGGGTATTTGTGTGCAGCTTATGTAGGATGTCGATTTATTCAGTACCATCTCCAGCCCTACTAGAATGATCCGTAAACCGAGCAGGCTAGAGACATTGTTTGGACGGAAAATTGTGTTGATGCAGTGGCAGTGGCACAGGCACAACAGCACACCTGTCGTACCACAAATTCAAGCACCAGCTGTCCCATTGGTGGTCAGAATCAAGACCTTCATTTGCATCGCCTCAACGCACACTCTTAGCCAACTCTCTTCTCTCTACAGTGTCCCCATGCAGTGTTTAGTCGCAGTCGCACCATTGTCGGCTGCAGCAGCCATTCGCAAATTTCAGACAGTCTGACAGTAGGTAGTCTTGAACTCAATCTTGGGCTGCTTGTCGAGCTTTCGCAGACCTTTCCATTTGTACATGCATCGTCCAAGATATTTAGGAGGTTAAACCACCCAGTATTTAAGACCAGTATTTTAATACATAATAACTATTTAAGTCCTAGGAATGAGGAACTTGCGCATTGGTCTCTCCACACGTGATGCCTACGTAAGCATGTGCATCCTGCTAAGTTACTCTCAGACACTCAAGACACTCAAGCCTTACTGCTGCGGAAACCCGTACGACTGGCCAATGCCTCTCAGTCAGTGCCTGGCTACTCCTAGTCTGCGCCACAGATCACGCCTCAGCACCGTCCCGGCTTGGCTATGGGGATTTGCTACCTCATCGCATTTCAGTGTCGAACAATTTCCACAGTCCCATCACTCGATTTCTGAATGAAGTTATCTGCTTCGTGCGCCAACCCGCGCGCGGACAGCCTCCCCCCAAGCTTCCTTGGTCACTGTCATTCGAATCCATCCGTTCGAGAGCAATTGGGGAACACGGAAGCCATACCATGAGACGTACGGAGCTCGACGATCCAGGCCAGCACATCACCTCCCATCCAGCCCCCCTGCCCTCACCATGGTTCACAAAGCAACCACACCTCCCGACAGCTCCTCGAGCGAGTGTCAAGGATTGTCGCCTGAGCAGGTTTCCAATGCTAAAGCTGTTGCCGCGCCGCCACGGCCAGTCCGCCGAGGTCATTTCAAGTCGCGACTGGGATGCTTCAGTTGTAAGCGCAGGCGAGTGAAGTGCAATGAATTGCGTCCAGAGTGCTCGCCATGTCGCCGGCTTGGTTTGACATGCGTGTATCCCACGCCAGGCCAGTCATCCACTGGGCAGCAAGGGCTACGACCAAACCCTTCAGCCTTGAATCTTGAAGATCTAAGGTTTTATCATCACTTCTTTACCGTTGGCTTTCCAACCCTGCCACTGAGAGGTGACAAGGTCTGGGCGCAATGTGCCGCCATGGCTCATAATGTAAGTATTGCGGTATTCCTCCCAAGGTGCGTCAGCTTCAGCGTCATGCATACGCGCATACTAATTCCCTCTCGTTAATTCTAGGACCAATGCCTTGCACATGCTATTCTTGGACTCGGGGCATCACACATCTCCCAAAATTGCAATGTAGACTATCAAGCTCAAGCTCTAAGTCACCGGGTCGCGGCAATTAAGCTGGTCAATGAACAGCTCGACAATCCGCCGCAAAACACAATCGATGCAGACGCCCTGTTCGCTGCCATCATTTGCCTGCTCGCTCAGTCTTCATTAATGGCAGACAGCATGGTGGAATACTTGACCATGACAAGGGGTGGCAATCTAGTTGCCACTACCATCATTCGCGATTTCAATGTATCAATATTCAACAATTTCAGCCCAGAGGGCCACGTCAGAATGGTCAAAGAGATGGTACTCGAGCAGCCTAAGGATCTCAAGTTGATCGAGTCGTTCAAAAGTTCAGCTCTATCGTTAGAACCTTTGTGTCAGGGAATGAATGAAATTAAGTATTTGGAAGCCATGGTTAGCTGTATCGAATCTTTGAAAGAATCCTCACTCTCCGGTAGGTTGCAGGTCTTCTTTTTACCGAGATAAGCTGGGCCGACGATGCTGACTTTAGACATTGTGCAAGCTTGGATGCGTTTCATCCCACTCTACATAATGCCGTCTACTTTTAACAACCAAGAGTTCTTAGCTTTTGTCAGCCCACAGAACCATGTGGGCCAGTTATTGATCATTCACATGTTTTTGCTCGATTACCTACTTGGCCGATTTTGTGTACCACAGAAAGACGAGCCCAAACTACCCGGTCGAAAGTTTGTCATCATCTCATGGACGAAGAACTTGGCGAAGTCACTGCCTCAACGTTACCAGCGTCACTTGGAGTGGCCACTTCAGTACTGCGAGGTGTTGGCTACCCAAGATTCTCGATATTTGCTGAGTCCATGAGCCGCCACTTATGGCTGGAACACACAAAGTCAACAGATTGCGCCTCTCGCATTCAGCACCAGAATGGTCTACGCATTCATACGATGAGCTGTTCGGGCAGGTTTTAGAGGGAAATCCATATTTTCTCAGTGAAGAGGTAGTATTATTACCTTTCATGGATAACTCACCCTGAATCATCCAAAGCGAGCACTGCGTGTCCGCTGTTGAGCGGCTATGACTTCCAGATCCAAACGCCGCGTTTGGATAAAGCTCCATAGAGGCTTAGGGCATATCCATGACTACGACTTTCTGGAAGTCAGTCCATGCATACATGAGGACGCATGGGCTACTCGACCATGTGCAAACGAGTTCGGAATCATCTTGATCAGCCAGAGTTCTTTACACTGAAAAAGATGAGGGCGGGTCTGGTGGAGCCAGGTCGTGGTTCTGACCTAACAAGCGATGGTCCCCATTCACCAGAGGCAAATTTGCCGAGCTATTGATGCATGTTGAGGTACAAAATTTAGTGATTTTGGAACGGCAGTATAGACCTGGTCTGTTTTCACGCCTGCTGCGCGTATTGTCAATGTTGACTCGTTGGGTCAGACGTGACGTTCATACATAGTGTTACGCGATACCATGAGTTTCCATGTCACACATGTCGAAAGCAGTGCTGGTAAGCAAAAACAGGTCAATTATATAATGTAGCTGCGTCCTAAAAGATTTTTTGAACGAATGGTAAACCCATGTCACTCTCGGGGGGGGGGGGGGGCATCATCTGTACAGAGTGCTCAGGCTCTTGGCTCACAATTGGCCCGTCGATGTCCTACCCTAAGCTCAGGGCTTAAAACCAATTCCCCAGCACAACCCAGATTGAACTAGGTGAGCAGAGGAATTCGGTAGGGGATATGAATTGTTCAGGCGTCTAGATATGTATGCGACCTATGGTGCATTGAGTTTCAACAGTTGTGCGATAATCGCATAAAATCGCTCTGAAGTTGTTAACAGGAGTGGGTAGATGAGGACCCCATCTTCAGCCAGCCACAACCCAAATGATTATGCAGGCAAAAACATTGCTATTCATGTAACAACACCCTAGAGAGCCCTCACATACTAACTCATTTACTTCTCGACTTCATCGCAAGCAGTTATGCCATGAATGTGTCACCACCCAGAACTTGTCTGCGCCACCACCATGAGTCACCAACTTAGTGTTCAATACCGCTGCCACCCTCAGAAGCAAGGTCGGATGGTCTAGTGGTATGATTCTCGCTTAGGGTAACACCCAAAGCTTAGCTTGCGAGAGGTCCCGTGTTCGATCCACGGTTCGACCCTTTCTTTTTGCCCATTTCTCGTTTCTGTTTTTCTTGTAATCTCCTTTTTTGGTCTTGTTGTTGGCTGGTGGATTTGAAGGCTTTTTCCAGGCGCAAGTTTCGCTGCAGGTGTGGAGACGGAATGTGGGGCGCCTGGTCGGCATCCGTTGCACTACTCTGTACGGAGTAGTGGCTCGTATAATATTGGGAGGTGGGCCGCGGAATGTTTGTAGACCCATGGCTGTCACGTGCAGCGCATTCTTCTTGGCGTCATGTCGGCGCGCGTCAGTAGAGGACGAACGCGGGCGGCCGGCTGATGTACACTACACGCGCTGTTATTGTCTTCATCTTGTCGCACACAGTCATGCTTGGAGAACTGCCATGGTTTTTTTAATCTCCTGAAAATCGAAAACTAAGAGCAGAACGCGGATCGCCATATATTGATCACTGAATTGTCGCCATGAACACGATCCTCGCTTCCATATTTTCTCCCCGCAAAGCTTCAGAAGACCGCGAAGTGGCTTCGTCGCCATTGGGACCTAAGTCAGCTATGTCCAGCAAGAGGCTCAAGCGCAAATCTCTCCCCGAGACCACAGTCAGGAGATCTGTGAAATTCGTGCGTTTTTCATTTCCAATTTTCACTCTGCATTGCTTCAATTCTGGAATGATTACTCCGTACAGTAGACGCATCTAAAAACTTTTGCTAATTTCTCGTTTGCGGCCTAACAGCATGAAATTTTGAATGACGACCCACCGTCACCCTCGGCATCTCGAAAGACAAGATCGCCTGGGAGATCGCCTGGGGGATTGCCTGGGGGATTGCCTGGCAGATCACCTGGCAGATCACCTGGCAGATCACCTGGGAGATCACCTGGGAGATCGCAAATCACCGAGGATGCTGTGGCAGACAAATCGCCTCGCAATACCGACACCTATTCTGATACGCCGGAAGGAGCCGCGCCAGTTGGGGATGAGTACAGCTTCAATCGCTTTGCAGGTCACCGCTGGAAGGGAAACTCGATGGAAATTCAAGTCGAATGGGCAGACGGCGATCAAACGTGGGAAGATGAAGCTTCTCTGCATCAGGATGCCCCGGAAGCCCTCTTGGAATACTGGGAGGGCCTTGGTGGACGTCCTTCGAACCCACATGACCCGGACATGTTTGTCATCCACGCTATTCGCAAACACACCAAAGATCGCAAGAAGCTGCTTGTTGAGTGGGTTGGGTACGGACCTAAAGATGCGACTTGGGTGCCGCGGACTGTGGTCGAAGAAACCGCGCCCGAGGTCGTTGCGCAATATTGGAAGTCAATCAAGGCTGCGAAGCCCAGACGACGACGAAGAGCGTAGCTGTTGTCTGACCTTCTGCTATGAGAAGCTGACAACGCCTGATGTATTTCCCCCCCTTCTGTCTGATGTTGTGTGTGTTACGATGTCTACGAGAGTGTTTTGAGAGCCTTTGACGGCAATGAGGAATTTAGGGTTCGCAGTAATCTGTTTCTTGTACATACTAATTACTACCTGTGTCATTCTGGGCGATGGAGTTACTTTTTGGGCAGGGCTGGCGTTTTTGGGGGTCTGATTTTTGTTTGTTGCTTAGGAATGGAACAGTACAGCAGCAGCCATTTATTCTTCGAACGGGCGATGCGCTTCATTACTGGCCACAAGAATCACATAATTGATGTAATGACTGCAGGACGGATTATTGGACCTTTCCCACTGGTTGGATGGGAAGGTTGGAAGAATATGCTGGCATGTTGGAGAGAGACAAACGAAGATGGAGGATTGGTAAGCACATTGAGGAAAAGCAAATGGAAGCTGTTGTCATCGTAGCCATACAGTAATATTAGAAAACTCTGGTAAAAAAAAATATTGGTCGCACTGCGGGAGTCTTGAGTGTCTTGTTCATCACGCGCGGCCCCTCCCTAATATACGACGTCACCGTCGTCTCCTTATCCCCTCATTTGTCGCTCGATAGACATGACTTGATGTGACCTTTTTCGTCCTGCAGCCGATGGGATCCATGGCTATATCTGTCAACTGGTATACCTAACAACGAAGCAGGTTGGTAGACGGATAGTCAGGTTCAGGCTACTTGGCGGCAGGATCCGCAGGAACGACTAACGCGGCATGCCGGCAGCACAAAGGCCAAAGGCCCCAAGTCTGCCTCGGCATGCTAGACGAACCGCCCGGCCAACGTGCCCCGGGCCATCAATCGCAATCAATTAGGTGATGCTGCAGAGGTCCATGCCCCCAGAGCCATGCCCCCAGAGCCATGCCCCCCCTCCACCCCCGCATTGACGACCGGCCATAGCTAACTTATACTCGATCCCGAGCAGGAATTGACTTGATGATACAGAGCCTGTCCACCCTCAGCATTTATCTCTCGGACTTTGTGGAAACCTACTGTATCGACGGAACATTTTGAGCACCCCTTGCCGCCTGTTGAGCGTTTTTCTTTCCTCATTGCATGCTTCCTGGGATTTTCTGTACACACTGGATGAAAACAACATGGCGCTCGCTTCGCCATCTGATACGTCGCGACAGCGACCCGTCCGGATCGCCAACTGCAGCGGAGCCGTCTGTAAGTCACTGGCTTTACGTCACGCAAGCGCAAGTTGCATTTCAGAACCGATTAGTATTCATTGAAAATTGAGTAACTATTTGCTGATAGCGTCATAGCCGATCCCGATATTCATATGTATAATCAAGCGTTCTATGGTGCCGTGGACGTCATCACGGGCGATTACCTGGCGGGTATGTTGGATCTACCGCGCCTGTCCCAAATCCCCCGAATGCTCTGCACTTAGGTAGATGGGATTAATGTAGTAATGGCGCTGTTGTCTTAGAGGCAAACATGGCGACTGACGCCGAAAAGCTTGCCGGCGAGCCCGGGTCAATCGACGCCGGATGGGCACCGACAGCACTAAAAGGTTTGCGGTTGACGCTGGATCTCGCGGACCAGAAACGAATCAAGATAATTGTCAATGGCGGCGGTCTCAATCCAAAGGGCTTGGCTGAGAAGACTCATAAATTGGTACACATATGCAAAAGCTGGCGGACACTTTAAAAATCCATCATTTGGACTGACCACGTTTTGTGTAGGTCGTGGAGAGGAAGCTACAGCTTTGTGTTGCCTACGTTGACGGGGATAACCTCATGCATAAAGTCCACAACCTGCTCCCCGGACGGGAGGCTGCGTTAAAGATCCACCTCGACGGCGCCAATAAGGATGTCCGCATTTCTCAAGACTCGCTCTCCTTTCTTGATCATCCCCGGGAGATGCCCATCGTGGCGGCCAACGCTTATCTTGGCTATCGCGGTATCAAACGCGCTCTTGATGAAGGAGCCGACATCATAATTTGCGGACGGGTGGCCGATGCGTCTCCCGTCCTTGGAGCAGCCGCTTGGTGGCATGGCTGGGCTGAGTCCGAGTACGATGCTCTTGCGGGCGCGCTCGTCGCCGGCCATCTGATCGAGTGCTCTACATATGTCACTGGCGGCAACTTCTCCGGAGCGTACAAGTATTCCGCATCTTCGTTCAACGACTTGGGCCCGCCCATAGCGGAGGTCGCCCATAGCGGCGAATGTGTTATTACGAAACACGAGGAACTGGGCGGCTTCGTGACGCCAGACACCGTGAAATGCCAGCTGCTATACGAGCTCCAAGGAAACATTTACCTGAACAGCGACGTCAAGGCGGACCTCACGGATGTCCAGGTCCGGCCGCAAGTGGCCAAGGACCGGGTTCACGTTTTCGGCGTCAGGGGCTACCCGCCTCCGCCGACCACGAAGCTTGCCGTGTTCTACCGGGGAGGATACCAGCTGGAGATCTTGATGAATGCGTCCGGATACGCGACTGAGCACAAATGGGACATGCAAGAGGCGCAGATACGCGGCAAACTGGGTGAATGGGGTCTGCTGGACAAGATTGACATTTTGGACTTCCAGCGAGTCGGGACGGCCCAGGAGAATCCTGTTTCGCAGCTCGCGTCCACGACGTATATGCGGATATTCGCCCAGGCCAGGGATAGGAGTGTCTGCCGGGCAGTAGCTGGCGCTTGGAACTTCAATTTCATGGCTCATTTTCCCGGTATGTTCTTTTACCTCCTCCGTGACAATCTCGCTAGACGAGAGCTCTGAAGGAGCTCGAGAAAATATGAGTATGCTCATGAGGGAATTATTTCTAGGCGCACATTGTTCCTGGGATCTCCGAACACTCACCCCAAGGCCCTTCCTGGGGTACTATCCCTGCGTGGTAAGCCAACAAGAGATCGAGGAAGCTGCGACGATACTCACAGGGAGTGCGGACGCCACGAAGCAGAGACGCTTCGTAGTCAGGCCTCCGCAAGTAAATGAGCCGCTCGCTCCCCGCCTCAACTACGAGACGGCCAGCCCCGTCATGCTGGAGACATTCGGGGCCAAGACAATGCGGCCGCTGGGCGACGTGGTGCTTGGGCGATCTGGCGACAAAGGCGGCAACGTCAATCTGGGGCTGTTTGTGCAGACTGCAGCGCAGTTCGACTGGCTAAGGTCGTTCATGACGAGAGAAAAGTTAAAAGAGCTGATGCGGAAGGACTGGCAGGACGGGTACTTTGTCGAGCGGGTCGAGTTTGCCGGCATATATGCGGTGCATTTCGTGATTTACGGCCCGCTGGGGCGAGGCGTGAGCAGTTCCAAGCTGTTGGATAATTTGGGCAAGGGATTTGCTGAGTTTATTCGCGCCGTGTGGGTGCCTGTTCCGACAAGGTTTTTGGATGAGAATGCGACGTCGCATCTGTAGAGTAGAGCAGAGCAGAGAATACGGCTGTACTCCGTACTCCGTACAAAGTACCTATTTACTTGTCTTGTCTGAGCGTGGTACGGGGTGCTCTGGTCCGATTTTCCGCAGTATCATGCATCCCCTGCCAAGCCACATGGAGCAGTCATCGTTATGACGAGACTCAACTGCCATAGCTACGCTCAATTGAGCGGTTGAAAAGGCAGATAATTCAAGTATCAAAACGCGGCAGGATCAGTTC